GCTGCCCGGTGGGTCCGTGGTTCCCCCATTCGGCCTCGGGCCTCTACGGCCGCAGGGGTGGGGGGCTGCCCGGTCCCTGGTTCCCCCATTTGGCCTCGGGCCTCTATGGCCCGCAGCGGGGGAGCTGCCCGCTGGGTTCCCCCGGGGCACCTGTTTTCTGCTGTTTTCCTTTTGCGATTTATTTTATTTTTCCCATCTCCGCTGCAATCCCGGTGAACTTCCCACCGCCAGTTGACCTGTGTGCCGTCACTACAGCTCCGGCTTTGCATCTTTTAGCCGTGGAGCCATCACGAGTTTCCAGGTCCGGTCAAAGACAAATACAAGTTCTGGGGCCAGAATAGGGAGCCCCCTGCATTCACTCCTGCCTCTGCCTGCACCCCAGTAAAATGCAGGCAGTGAAATGCTTGCGGCTGTTTGCACCGGCCGCAGGCAGCCTCTGGGCCCAGGGAAACTGCCCCAGCTTAGGGAACGGCTCCGGCGGTGGCCGGAGGAAGAGCAGGACGGGACTCACCCTTGTGCTGCGGCCGCTTGCTCTATCGCTGGCACGACAGCTGTGCCCAAGGGCAAGGTGTGGACCTGTCATTGCCCTAGGGGGCCCGCAGGGCGCCACCTATTCAGGAGGGGACCCCCCCAGGAGTCTGCCCTGTATCACCCCGGAAATCCCACCAGGATACGCTTAATGCCTTGTGGTTCCAACTCTGCCTGGGACATTCATGACACTGTGACTCTGATCTCTTAGACTTCAGACTGGTGGAGTCTGCTGGCCCTGGAACAGGCTAGACCCAGATGGCTCGGTTCTGTTTATGGTTTTCTTACAGGGCAGGCAGAGGGGCACTCCTGAACCCCCAAACCTGCCCTCTCTAAATAGGTTCTGCCACCCTCCGCATCAAGATGAAACACAGCAGGCCTTTCATGGAAAGGAAACTCGAATACAATGGGTTGCCAGATAGAAAGGACAAAGGATATACTTTCTACATCAAGCCCCCAAAGTCACCCATCCCCTCGTGGGTAAAAGTCCACCCAGAAGGGATGGGCCCAAGCAAGGCCCGAAGCCTAAAGCACCTCAGGGCGGGTCCCACAGAAAAGGGTCAGAAGTGGCCAGACAAGGATGGAGGAAAAGAGCCAGATCAAGTTCAAGATCAAAGCTGCCACTGCCAACCTCCCCACGGGTCTCTCGCCCACCAAGAGACAGAGCCGCTTCTCCACCTGTCTCTGCCCCCACGCGCCTCCCTCAGGCCGCCTGCTGGTCTCCAGCCGCTCCCTTCCTCTCCAGTCTCAGGTCCAGGTTCTTCTCCCTGCTCAGCTCCACCCTCCCCTTTTCCTGGGGGCCCCTGCTACAGTTTCTGATCACTGTTCCATGTCACAGTGTGGGATTCTGGGGTGGGGCTGGTCTTGCTGGCACTGACATCAACTCAGTCCCATGGTCCTGTCTTCTGCTCTTAGTTTGCGTCTTTCAGCTGAGGGTGATTAGGAACTTTCCAGGTCTGGTCAAACACAAAGAAGGCTGTTCTGAACACAGCCCATGCTCTCACACACGTCAGCCGGAACGTTCCAGGCCACCGCGCTGGGGAAGGGTCAGAATGCAGCAAACACTGTCCCCAAACTGGCGGCCCGTCCCAGAGCTCCCCCCGACCTTGGGGAGAGACACCCCCCGCGTTGTAAAGCCGCAGGAAGAACACACCAACTGCCCACAGAGCGTGACTTCCCCGTGACCTAGGTGGGCAGCGAAGGGGTGTTGGTGGTCACGGGCCTGTCTGAACCCGGCAGAGTCAGCGTGGATTTGGAAACGGTTTTCCTTGCGGCTCTGGGGGAAAGAAAAATGCAGAACATGGTGTCTTTGTGATGTCTTTTGAGTTCGGGGTCCTTGGGGTCACTCTGGGGAGGGTCTCGCCAGAGTTCCCCTTTCAGCAGCCCAGGGCCAGATTCTCCAGGAGACTCAGTTATTTTTAAAGAAAGAGACGGGAGAGGGGAAGAGACTTGGTCAGGTGCAAGTGGGCAGGAACAGCTGCGCGAAAGGGACAGGCTTGCTGAGAGCGGCCTTGCAGAGGGAGAGACCGGGGGGGCACCTGTGTGGGCACATGGGGGCAGAGGAGCGGCTGCCCCGAGCTGTGGAGAGATGCCCCGATGGAGACAGACTCTCCTGGGAGGGCTCTCTCCCTGTGAGCCCGGTTTGTTGACCTTGAATAGAATCTGAAGGTTAGAGATTCCCTAGTGAGCTTCATCTCCACATCCATGTCCTTGTCTTTGTTACAGGACTCCCCAAATCTGTTATATGACAGGGAGAGAGGGAAAACCCTGAAGCCCAAAACCTGCCTTTCTAAGTGGGTTCTGCCATCTGCTGCGTCAAGACAAAACATATAAAACTTTAATGAAAAGGGCTTTAATACAGTGAGTGTAGAGTACAGAAGACAACCAATAGAACTTCTAAATCAAACACCTGAAGTGACCTGTCCCCTCGGGGGCAAAAGTCCACCCAAAAGGGGTTGGCCCAGAGCAAGGCCTGAAAGCCGCCAGGAGACTAAAGCACCTTCTGGCCGGGACCCAGGGGAAAGGTGTAACAGGGGGTCCCTAGGACAAAGGGAAGTTCCCGGTTCCCTGCCCCACCCAGAAGGCAGGTGGAGCTGAGCAGAGAGAAAGGAGAGAAGAAGGAAATGGAGCAGGATGGAGCAGGAGGAGCCCTGAGGAAGCCACAGGGAGCAGCGAGCATGTGAGGAAGAAACCGGGCTCCTTTCCTGGCCCTGGACGGGTGAGGGCAGAGGTGGGGGAGACCTGCAGGGAGGTGACCGTGGCAGTGTTTATATTGATGTTGCTCTTTTCCTCCCAGACTTGTCCGGCCATGTCTGACCCTTTTCCCTGGGTCCCGGCCAGAAGGTGCTTTGGGCTTGTGGCGGCTTTCAGGCCTTGCTCTGGGCCGATCCCTTCTGGGTGGACTTTTGCCCATGAGGGGACGGGTCACTTCAGGTGTTTTATTTAGAAGTTCTATTCTTTGTGTTCCGTATTGTATATTCACTGTATTAAAGTCCCTTTTCATTAAAGTTTTATATGTTTTGTCTTGACGCGGCGATGGCAGAACCCACGTAGAGCAGGCAGGTTTGGGGCTTCAGGGGTGTCCCTGTCCCCCTGTCCTGGAACAGATTTGGTGTCCTGTAACAAAGGGTCAGAAATGGCCAGACAAATCTGGGAGGAAAAGAGCAAAATCAAAAGCAACATAAACAGTGCCAGTGACCTCCCTGCAGGTCTCTCCCCCACCTCTGCCCTCACCGGTCCAGGGCCAGGAAACGAGCCCCGTGTCTCCATCACATGCTCACTGCTCCATGCGGCTTCCTCAGGCCTCCTCGTTCTCCATCCTGCTTCCTTCTTCTCTTCTCTCCTTTCTCTCTGCTCAGCTCCACCCGCCTTCTGGGTGGGGCAGGGAACCTGGAACTTCCCCTTTTCCTGGGGGCCGTTACACCTTCACCCGGCGCCCACATCCTGGCTTTGGTGCCCTGATTTTCTGGCTGAGTCAGCTGCTGCATTTGCCTCTTCTCCCCATCCCTTTGCGTGCCTCAGTCTGGTGAGGCCTCCCCTGCATTCCTTCCTCATCATCTGGTTCTTGCAGCTCAACAGCCAACTTTTCAAGCAGTTCCTCCCCCCCTCCCACGTCTGCCTCTTAGTGGAGGCGAAAAGTGCATCTCTCGTTCTGGGAGACGTGATGGGCAAGTAACAGAGCTGCTCAAGGGCCTTCCATGTAACTCGCCTGACGCCTGCCTCAGTTTCCCTCAGCCGATCAAAGGAAAAGGAGCTTGAGGCAACAGAAAGTGGTTTGTGGACAAACGAGGGCGGCGGACGCATCCCCCTCTTTGGCAGGGTGCAGGGTTACTGGAACAAAGGGAAAAAGGGGGGTCAATGGGCAAGGGGCGGAGAAGGTGGGCACCAGCTTGAGTTTTTCAACAGCTATTTGACTCCATTTCCCTTGGGCTGGCAGAAGACAAACCTGCAGACAAGCAAGGCTGGGGGAAGACAAACTTGTTGATGTCGAGGAGAGGCCAGGCATTGGGCCGGTGTTTCCTTTCCTTAAGGAGGTCACCGGTTCCACAAGCTGCAAACTGACCTTGGAATGCGCAGTCAGATTCTCACAGGCCGGCTTTTCCTTCCGTTTCACTTAAACAAGGGCGGCATTCCACACTCGTTCAGGCGCCTCTTTCCCGGTGCCTTAGGAAGGGTCTTCCCGCTTGCCCTCTCCAGCAGAGACTGGCCAGAGGGCAGGGCAGAGGTTTGCTGGCTGGGGAGTCGCCGCAGGCAGGCTCGGCTTTGCGGAGCAGGGTGCGGCCTGTCCGGGGAGTGCTTGCTCTCCCCCGGTGCCGCCAGCTCGCCGGGCAGCTGGAGACAAACGCCGGCAGTGCCTCACCCCTTAGTAAGAAACAGCCGCTCGGTGCCTTGGCGGGACCGCGGAGGAGCTGCCGGCCTGCAGAGGCCGCCGTGAGGCGCCGCTCGCCCGCACGAACCCGCGGTGCGAGTCCAGCAAATCCCGGACACGCCCGGACACGCCCTCGCGGAGCCTCCCGGGGCCGGACACCCCCGG